GCTGTCTTCTCTGAGAGCACCAAACACAAAATGTGTTAGAAATGAAACAGCAGTTGACATTTAACTAGTACACTTAATACCGTGCTTTCTCCTCTTGAAGAAGACAAAAATAGGTGTATTATTAGCATCTTCTGGTGCAGTACTTTTACATTCCCTTACTCTTTCTTTGAAGTCTGCCTTCAGTGGTGTTACCAAAACATAACCTTTCTTGATGTGTTTTTTGCTTTTTTTTTTTTCCCCCCTGTTGTTTTGATTTTTGCTTTTCCACTCTGGTCAGAATGAGACTTTATTTTAAATTTCTTTTAGCTTTTTACTTTTCAGTGGGTTTTTTCATGTTTTTACAGAACTACAATCGACCTCCAGTAATGGTCTTAGCTGTCCCAGTGGCAGTGAAATTCCTTCAGAGGGGCAACAAGGAACTGTGCAGAAACATGTCAAGTTATCTATCCTTGGCTGCAATCGCTAAAGCAGATCTGCTGGCTGATCACACAGACACCATCGTCAAAAGCGTCCTGCAAGGTAGGAACACACTGAGATTTTGGATTTAGCCCTGCAGCGTGCCCACCGTTAGATTAGTTAGGCTGTATTGGGCATATATACAAACAAACACATTGTACGTAAAAACATGTGTGAGGCTTGTATGTATAAAGCATACATATGGGCATATCTATAAACACGTGATAAAACATGTTAGACACAGTCTAATAACAGAATATATCAGGGAAGACTTTTCAAGAATATGTGAATATACTGAACGTTGTTGATTGTGGAAGTTTCATTATAGATTGGATGACCCATAGGGCAGGAAATACATCTGAACTTGTTAGTATACCGTACTAATGGACTTCAAATTATAAGCCATGATATGAGACACTAGTTACAGGGCTCTTATCCTTTCTATTAGCATCATTGGCGATACTCCAAAATATAACTGGGGATGAAAATAATCCCATTCTGTGGCAAAATAGTGAGATGTAAGATATAAAAGCTTTGTAGTGGTTTTTTAATTTGCCTACATGATTAGCTTTACATAGAATATTGTTGCTAAACTCTGTACGCTTCAATTTTGTGGTTTAAAAAGCCAAAAATATTCATACCTCTACAAAAGAAAGTAAAATTTAGTTGAAGTAGTAAAGTTCAGTTTTCACTGCAATACAGTGCTACTGCAGTAGAAAAATCACTATTTGCTTTTCTCCAAGTCCAGGGAATAGCAATAAGTAGCAATAGCTCTCTAATTATCCCAAGAACATTGTTATGAAGATGTTAAGCTCCCAAATTAAATGTGTGCATTCTGTATTTATTAAAAAATATAAATGGAGTATAGTTATTTTTAGACATTTTATGGAGGGATAGCTAAGATAGAAGTAATTTTGTTGTTAAGACATTATGGTAGGAGTTTGCATATTTCTGCCCGCTTTGTTTAAGGACAAATGTGTGATAAATATGATAAATAATAAATATGTATGAGCTGTGTGATAATACTAATTGAGTAGAGTCCAAGAACAGAATATTGCTAGCAACTTACAAAACCACAGGGATAATTCTTTTAAGACTTTAGTATTTATGTGTTAATGTTGTGCATCGCCACTTGTAATGCAGTGCTATTAATAGAAAGAAATAAAGGGAAATGGGTTTTATGGTATAGGCATAGGTTTAGGAAAAGTGATTAACACCCACAACTGAAGGTTTCATCGTAACTCTTCCTCCTCATTCTTCTGTATTTATGTTATTCTACCAGCAGATGTTGCTGTGGACATCATATTTGAAAATTCCAGACTGGAAGAGGGCACTCTGAATAGGCAAAGCACTCTATTTTGCATACTGGCTTAATTGCACTGTACATAATTTGTATTTTGGGCATGAAAAGGTTGGTTTGCAAGCAGGCTAAGAATCACACTTAAAGACGGAGTGTTTGCTGAAGGGAGAAGGGAAGCAAGAGGATAAGCTGCTAAGGACGGATTTACAAAGCAGTGCGGAGACAAAGGGCCTTGTTCTGCTGCTGCACAGATGGGGCTGAGCCTAATGGCACCAGTGAGACTGATAGGAGACATTGGCCCCTTGCCTGTGAGTGTTTGAGAGCTAACTGGATTTTTTGATTACTTGGGGCAACTGTTTGGCTGCATAATCAGTTTCTTATCTTATTAGCTAAAAAAGAGGAGCTCTTTAGAAAAGAGTGTTTAACTACCCTGTTCCAGTTAGTGTGAACTCAGCTTCTAAACATGCAAATGTCCGCACCGTGCCTGCGTTGCTGACAGGCCCTGCGCTGACACCTTCCATGAGCAGAAGGGATCAGGCAGATTTATTCCTGTTTCCAGGGGGAAGCAGCAAAACTACCCTGCAGTCGCTGCTGTAATCGGAGCGTCCCATGGCCGCTCCACCTTCCAGAGGCACTCAGGCAAGGCACGTGGATGCTGCATTCAGCAGAGGCTTGTTAGGGAGCAGAACTGGGCTCAGCAGCCTACTTCCAGGCACGTGTGTCTTGTGCTTGCTCCTTCATCTCTACATTTGCAGTGAGACAGCAGGGTCACAGTGGCTTTTCTGTATTCGGAGCCCAGCTCCCCCCAAATACTATTTACTTGGGTTTGTTTTTTTTTTCCAAACAGGCAAACTGTTGACAAAGAAATACATAGTTCAGCTAGGAAGGAAAGAGAGAGGTGTGCTGATGGAGGTGACTTGTGGTGCTGGGCAGGAGGGGACTGGACTGTGGGAAAGCTTTGCTAGTCCACAGAGGTGATAAAGGAAGAGCAAGGCAATTGGCAAGAGTTTTCCAACTGAGTCGACTGGACTGGCTTTGCATTTGGTCATCTGCCAAACCAGAGCAGATATAGGAAAAGGCTACTTCCAAGCCAAAGCATTTCAGGTATGAGGGTACAGTTAGAAAAGTAGCCAGGAAGGACTTCTGGTAATCTTTTTCAGGATTTTGCTTTTTCTGCTGCGTTTCACAAACATTTGTTTTTATTTAATGGAGGGCACTGTACGGAAAGAGGATTTGAGAGTGGTTTTGCCCTTGCACAATGTTGGGACCTCAAGTGTTTTTCTTAACTCTGAAGATCTGTTTTCTGGCTGACAGCAGATGTCATTCTCCTGTAGTTAAGGTTATTTGTGAATATTATTTAGTAAGGGATTTTTGTCGTGCTTACTACTAAGCATTTATAATTTAGATACATTTTTATTGCAGCATAATAGGAGAAATTCCAGCAATCGGAGCAGTTATTTTTACCTTAAATAAAAATGCCAAAACTTTGGAGCAGATCGTATAGCTTTAGCTATGAAGCACAACCCCCTTGAATGGCATAGTAAAGTGGAATTTACCTTGTCATAGCTTTTTTTCTTACTATTTTTGTATTGTGGAAGGAAGGATCTGGTAGCTGTGTCATACTCAGGAATAAGCATAGCAGCAACATGTCAAGAAACTTTGAAAAAGTGCGTTCTTAGGACATCTGTAGAGAATAAGAAAGAGAAACATGTGAATAGAGCAGAAGGGTGGGCTGCTTCCAGTGGAAATAAGAATTGCTTTGAATAAGACATTCTCCACGATAACTTGTTCAGAGGTTTCAACGGGTAGTGAGTAAGTGTTCTTGTCATAACTGGTTACATATCCAGCAAGTAACTATCCATCATTGTCTACTTCTGTTTTCTTTTCTACACACGAATCACCACCAGTGTCTTGGCTTTCTGCATCTGCTTCTTATGCACCGTATCCAGCCCTATGTTTTTATTGGATTTTGGATAAGCTTGTGAAAGCGAGAGAAGAAAGCTGCTGCCATCAATTCTGCCTTGCATAAACCTCCTGTTAGCATCAAACAAGTTGGTTATTTTGGATATCTAAATGTACCTTAAAACGGAGTCTGTCCTTCTCAGATGGCCAGTGTTATGCATAGAGTACCAATTGATTTTTTTTTTTTTTTTTTATTTTTTTTTTATTTGGGAATATCTCAAAACCAATCCTTCCTTCAGCCTCCAAGCACCATGCTAGCACAGCCTCAGGTCAACGCTTGTGTGTCAGTGTGTCAAAGCATCTCCTCTGTACAAGCGACCGTGTCCATGTGGGAGAACTCCTAGAGCGGTGGATCCTGGCACATGGCACAGTTCATGAGAGGGATTGTTATCACAATGGGCCTTTAAAGCCTTCTCTGGCTAATGCTTGGATTTCAGTCCTCTGAGGATCTCTGTGTGAGCTGTTGATATTTATGTTCTTTTTCTATTAGCAGCTAAAACAGTGTGGTTCAAAACATGGAAAATTCCCAACTGCTGCTTACTTTCAGAGTTTCAGTTAATGAGAAGGATAGAAAGTTTTAGTTTAGTAAAGTATCTTTATTTATAGAACAACTTTACAAAAATAATTTCAATAAAATTATTACAAAGTCAATGTACAATATAATACAGCTGCATTTTCTTGAAATGTAACATCAGATTATGATGGGGAATATTACTTTTATACGTTGGGTCAATCCATGGCATAAATAACACTTTAAAGAAGGAGCTAGTTTTGTTATAATCTACAAATTACTAACAGTGATTAATAAACAACGCATTTCTGGGCTTATGTGGTCCCTCTGTACAATTCACTATAAAAATCAATGACTGGAGGAGCCGGAAAGATGCGCAGCCTTATGTCTGTTTTGCAGAGACTGGTCAGCAGGATACCCGACGTGTTTCCTCCAGCAGGGATTCTAGGAGCACCAGTCAGCTCCAAAATGTCCACAGTGGCACTTTTATACATCAGAAAACACTATGCTAGAGAGGCAGCGGTCGTCTGACCTCAGGAACAGTTTTTTCCCAATGTCACACCTTGATGTGGTTTTTTTTCAGTGTTTTGCCAAAACAGCAGGCAGGGATCAAATCCCATCTCCACAGTACCTCATTTTGTAAACTTGCAATGCTAATCTTCCTTGGGAATTCGAGAGATGCAGGCTCCTACAGCTCTGTTTATGTGTATGTATTGGCGTTCAGCTCTTCATGAAATATGTCCTTTGCTTCAGAAACTGCCTTGCCCAAATTTAAGAAATGTACTGGGCTCCTCCGTACGGCAAAACTTCTGTGACTCCCCACCCGATGATGTTGCCTCTGATACTGCACGCATCTTCTCCGCTCTGCGCTGCTATCTCTTGGGCACTGAGCACTCTGTCCCACATGTTAAAGCCAGTTAATTTTCCAGAGAAGGCTAAAGCTTCGTCAAATCCACCTCCAACGCAGCAGCCGTTCTTTTCTTGACCAATCTGCAAAATCCCTCCATCGGGAACCGTGTGAGCCTTGGCAATGTCTGAAGCGGTGGCTGCAAGCTCTCCCTTCACCCACAGAGATGCAGATCCATTCTCTGAGCTCCAAGCACCACAGAGGTGGATCCACTTCCCAGGAACAACTACATTTTTGGCAGCTAACTTGTGCTGGACACCGCCAACAACAAGCACTGCAGACTCCCGGCTGAGATAAAGCTGGATTTCATATGGATTTAACTTGGTTCCGTAGGAGAAGACAATAGTTTTGTCCAAAGCCTCAGTCACCTTGATCCAGATACAAGCAGTAAAGGAGCGAAGGGTCATTCCAGCAGTTGGGTGAACACTCCCAAATATCTTTTTTGAACGCATGGGGAATAGAATTGCTGTCTCACACCCTGAAAAAGTTAGAAAGATTGTTAGGTAAATAAAAACTGGTCTATTGGTACATACACAGTTAGGACCCTTGACACATGCTCACTCCTGGGCTTCTCAAAGGGAGCTGAGAGCTCAGCTCACCCAGTGAGATGTAGGATGCTTTGAAGAAGCTGCCAGATCTGATGGATGAATTTGCCAAACACTATGGCAATGGGTCTAGAGATTAATCAGGCTGCAGAGCAAGGCTTGGCTCTTCCCTTGCTGCAGAAGTAGTGTGTTGTACAGTCCTGTGCCATGCAAAGTGATGCCTAGGTTTACTGCTGGGAAGTTGGGCTTCCCAGAGGGTTTGTGCAGGGCAGGTGCCTTCTGCTCTGATCTGCCTCCTAGGAGAGCTTTGCTTTTGCTGGGTTGCCTAGAGAAATTAGCACTTTACATTAGGTAATTTTGTTGGGTAGCCCTATCTCTGTTTCATTAGGTCATGTTTTAGCCTCTGTCTCCTTTTTCGCTATGGAGTGGTGAAAACAGTGGCGTTACGGTGAGGGGATGGGTTCAGCGATCTATCAAATGGCAAGTTTAGGTACGGTGCCGTTCCTGGGACAGTGGTGTGAGGCTCCTGCTGTGGATGGAGAAATGGAGCCGCTGGGTGGCTGTGTCATGAGCAGATATGGAGTGTCTGGTGGATAACTGGGCAGTGGAGGGGAAGGATTCAGGGCACAGGGAGCATTGGCAGAAGTCTGTTGAGATTTGTTTGTTTTGATTTGTTTGTTGGACCAGATGATCATTGAGGTCCCTTCCACCCTGGTATTCTATGATTTATTATAATGACTCCCTTTTCTGACCCCTGCCTTCAGGGCTATTGGTCAGTAACTTCCACGTGCACTGGTTAATAAGCATGGGAAATGTATAAGACTACTGATGTTTTTAAAACAGTTCATCTCTCACTTCCAATTATTCAATATGTAGATTAGTTAAAAGCATTAACAGAAGTTTATGAAACTTAGAAAAGTAACTACCCCCAAGCCGGTTTTGGTATTCTGTGTACTGTTCCCTAGTTGTATATAACTTAATATTCTAAGCAACACAGGGGGAAAAGCAGCCCCCCTTCTAAAATTAAGCTGGTTTATTTCCTGTTTAAACAAGCTAGAGGATCTAAAATGTCTAAAATGTGTGTGGAAATTTCTGCTTTGGTGAATGAAGGACTCTTTGTGTCCTCCAGCATTGCGCTGCTGTGTTATTTCATAGACTGCTTCCTTTCAACTTTGGGCAGATTTTACATTTCTTCACTGGCCCTTTTGAGGAGGGGCAGGAGCAGCGAGCAACTGTTGGGGATACTCCTTAAAACGCTACTTAGGAACACTGTTGTGAAAAGGCTTTTAATTAGCAAGCTTTCAGGCTTCATTATCAAGGCCTAAACAAAATTAAAACCAGCCTCACTGAAGAACAAAAAGTGCGATTAGAAAATCCCTCAAGAGTATGGCTGGCAGTAATTCAAGATGTGAGAAATTAAAGTCAGTTGCTAAAAATTCCCTTGAAAAAAAAAAAATCCAGAGACACGCTCTGGAAGTACTTTAAATGTATCTTTTAAATTAAAAAAATGAGAACATTTAATATAAAACTATGTAGGAACCAGTGGAAATAATCTGGACTTCCACTAATGAGACTGACATCCTTAATGCCAATCAAATTTTTTTTATGGTCACCTAGTACAGAGTAACTGACTGTAAGGTTGGCCGTGTTACAGGAGAGAGAGAGAATGAGATCATGCTTTCTGGAAGGCAAGATTCATCTGTTTGGGGAAAAAAGGAATAAGCCATAAGATCTACTCCCAGTACACAAAGCTTACTAAAAGTGTTGCGATAAATAAAGGAGTAAAAGCAATTCATTTATAATGCCGAATCCACGTCCTATCTGAAAGGATAGATTCATGTTAGATTGTGGAACGCTTTGCTATGAACTGTTGTTATTTTGTGTTGGTGTTGTAACAGGCCTGTGTAAGTTGTTGGCTTTGCTCTAGCAGTTACAAGAAGCGCTCCTCCTCGCTCACCTGCGTAAGAGCTGGCGCTGGTGGGGTTGTTAAGGGGCGCTGGCAGGGCTGCTGTAACTGCACCCCAAACTATTTTTTCCTATTCATGCAAACCCATGGGATTCTGCGAGCATAGATTTCTGTGAGGTTTTTAAGGTGCAGTAACTTATATTTGTGGAAAATAACAGTCATTAAAGACATGTCAATGTTTAGAAGGCGTGTAGTGATAGCTCTCTGGTAGGCAGAGTTATATTCAATGTAGTTATATTGTGCAGGCAGGAATTTTGCACCCACATGTTAGATGGGGGTCTGCCCTGCCATACCCAAGTTGCTGTGGCTGATTTTCAGGCGTCACATTACGGTGCACTGAAAAACTGACGTGAAATTTGAGATATGAGCTCATCTTTCTATGGCCACCTCGCTTGCTGACCAATGCAAACATTTTGGAAGTGGAAAAAAAACCCCACCCCACAACAATACCACAGCGTTACTAGTTTTTCCGTGCTTGAGGAAATACTCTGAACTGATGGTTGCGTGCAGTGAGCGTGCCCTCCCTTTGTGGGGAGCGTGCTGAACTGGTTGGCATTAGCAGCGTGTCCTCAGATCTAGCTCTGCCCTTGGGCAGCTGGAGTTGGTGAGGAGGCAACATGGAGCTTAAGAAGAAGAGGGAAGTGGGTACATGCATGAAGAGCACAGCAGAGCTCAGTGACTGGTGCGTATGCGCAGGAGTTAGTAGCTGGGAAGGTAGAAGGTGAGAGAACATAATTTGTAAGTTTGACAGTGCAACAAACTTATTTCACCAGTTTTGATCTGGGAGAGCCTGAAGGAGGTGGGGTCCTAACTGGCTTTGTCCTGTGTACGGGCTTTGATTAAACCCTTCTTTGATCCCACCTTGGAGAAGCTCAGCTCCTCTTTTTCAAGAGCCGTTAATGGGTTCCCTCCCTGTATGGACAGACCGCTCAAAGCTGCGGTGCTGTTCGTGAGATTGCTTTGGAGTGATGTGCGGAGGAAGGTGCTTAAGGGGGGTCTTTGTAGGGTATCTGTTTGGACAGGCCCACCAAAGAGAGCTCTCTGGTAAAGCGTAGCGCATGTGGACTTACCTGCTGGCAGTACGTGCTGAGCTGCCCATTTCTGCGATGCCTTCAGTTCAGCTCTGGCTTGCTGTAGCTCTTTCCACACCTGAGCCTCCGCCTCAGACCTCCTCAGCCAAGTGCTCTCCAGCCAGCTGAGCCTGCTGGACACGTTGTGGCTCAGCAGCAGAACCTGCTCGAGAATCTTTCCTTGCTCAGACTCATGAAGCCTCTTGGCTTCTTCAGCTCGATCGCTGTTCCTTGCAAGTGCCTGCTCTACCTGCGCCACGACATGGGAGGTGACTTTCTCGACCGCGGCAGCGAAGGTGCTTGCGAGGTTGGTGGTGAACTGGCTCAACTCTGCTTTTAGGGTCTGCAGGTCCACCTTCAGGATCTCATCCACCGCCTGCAGCATCATGTTCTCTTTCATCTGTGAGTTCTCAAGCATGATGAAGAGCTTGTCCCACTCAGTGTGTTCTCGCTGGCAGTCGCACGAAACAGCTGGAATGGAAGATACAGATGTTGCTATTCCTTTGTACTCACATTTTTAAACAGAAGGAGTATTTGACAAAATCTGGCTCTGTGCAAGGCTTATGTGCTCCAGACTGACAGTGTTTCCCTCTATATAAAAATAGAAAATTAAAATAGCGTGCATTGTAGCAATTCTAAAACTAAGTGTAATCGGAAGTCTTTTGCAGGAAAACTGAAAAACAAAGAGTTTAGAGCAAATTCCAGGGCACACCATCCAAGTGCTTTAGCATTTGCTGTTCATAATAATCTACTGGTACAAGCACATTCTTCTTCCTCTGAAAAAAAAAATTGAGTTTGTAATAATAACTGTTACAAGAACGCAATTCTGCACTTGACAAATTTAATTTAAATCTACTTACTTTCCTCCGTACCAAGAACTGGACCTTCAATTTCATTATCCAGGTTCACATACATGAGATCATAGTCATCATCTTCATCCAGAACAGAAACAGAAGCCCTGAAAACACAGAACAGCGTAAGCAGAGAAAGTATTTCTTGGGGCAGCATTCTCTAGCTGCTTCCTGCAAATAGCTGGGCTGCCGGGAGATAAAGCCTAAGTCAGACTTCGGCAGAGACGAGACTGTGAGTGAGACGCAGCGAGCCCCTAATAAATGCTCCGAGCGCCTCAGCTTGAATGAATGAGCAATGCTAGTGCCAGTGTTGTAATAAGAGCACTTCTGGCTGTTGGTTTTGGCCGAGAGGAGAAGGGGGCGTGCAGCTTGCTCAATTCCAGCCTTCCAGGTCTGCGCTGGGGGGAGATGTACTGACTCGCAGAGGGGAAGAAATGGGGAAAGCTGCTCTTGCGAGCTGCCGCTTCCCCTCCGAGAGCAGATCGCAGCAACGCGAGGGTGAGAGTGGGGGATGAAAGCACTTGGAGCTCGCTGCCTACAAGCACTGGCTTCATTGATTATGTTATTTTGTGTTATTTGTGGGAAGGAAAGTGTTCTCTGCAAACTCGTTTTGTAGTTGGTATGTGCCAGGGCTCTGGAGGGGATTGGTAGAAAAATAAACATACCTGGAGTTGGTTTGGATACACGTGTATGGTTTAACCTAAATATTGTAGGGTTTTTTGATCATTATGTATAAAAACTTCTATCATATACTGACAGTTTACTGCTTTAAGCAATAAAGGAGAACTCCTAAAGACAGCTTATTAGAGTTTTGCTTTTCTAGCCTTAATTACCAATGACAGCATCATAACTATGTGGATAATAGGTTACTGCTAGTATCTTGTTTCGGGAGCGTGTAGATTGGCAGCTGCACGATTAGAGTTGTTTCTATTAACTTTGAAAAAACAAAACAAGGCACCCTTGGATTAGACATTAATCTAGTGCTAAGTATTATTGTTATTGGTGTTAATCTGTTTTAAATTCTGGAAAGCTTATGAGTTCAATGGGCCATTAATTATTTCAGAGATGCATTGCTTAGGTGAGATTAGGGGTAATATGGCTCAAATTATATGTTGGCTATGAAACATTCAGAGAATAGCAAAAAAACCCCACGTAATTGCATCTAACTTGCAAGCTGTGTTCCCTTTCCACTTGAGTCTCTGGTTTAGCCCCTTATCACTGTACGCAGGCGTGTGTAAAGAGGGCCCTCTGCTTATGTTCTTGCTCATTCTGCCCCCGGCACCTGGGCCAGGAGCAGGAGGTACGGCTGCACGAGGCAGCAGAGACGGCGTGTGTGGCCTCAGCCATTGCCCCCTCCTGCAGCCGGGATCAGGAGGCACTTTTGCAGATGTCACCTTTTGCTGAGGAGGCAGGTAAGGCCGGAGCTGCTGGCTCCCCAGCCCCCTGCCCACTCCCTGGCTCCTCCAGGCTGGTTCCATGCCCCCCAGCAGAGCCCACTGCTGGTCAGAGCCTGGTGCTGCTGCACCAGGTGCCTCCCAGTACCCAGCCTTGCTCATGCAAACCTGGGCTACCTGTGCGTTGGGCTGCTGGCCACGGTACTGTGCTATTCCTACGTGCCAAACCATCTCACTGTTTCACCCTGTGTGTGGATGGGGTTCCTGCCACTGCGGGGTCTCCAGCTGCTCTCCTGCAAATGCAAATAATAAGTAGGAACGTTGAAGCAATATATTAGAAACCTCAAAAGTTTGGTAAAGTAGAGGTGAACGTTTTCAGGGAGGCATGTGCCTAACTTGAGTCCTCCCAGGGAAAAAAATGAGTCTTGGTACATGGGCTTTTATCTCTGAAGACTCAATTTGGAGCGAATGTCGAAATGCTGCTGTATAGCTTTGAGAGCTCTTTCCGTCTGCATTACATATGCAGCGTGCAACCAGGCTCATTTTTTTTAACAAGCTCTCTATGCTGCTGGGTGGGGCAGAGCAGGGACTGAGCACAAGGCAACCTTTGCAATTCATGTGTGTGTGGAGCACAGCCAAAGTGTGCCCGGGCCATGGTCCTGGGGCAGCTGGGTGGGCCGGCGCCACCCCAGCCCGAAGTCGTGGTTGCTCCTGCTGTACGTGCCTCTTCCCTGCCTGACTTGCAGCCAGTGGTGCAAAGCCATCGAATGTCCTCAACTGTACATTAGTTTCTGCCTGAATTGCATAATTCCCAGTGTGTGGTCTGCCTGGAAAGTCTGAGAAAATCTAATCTGGAAAGTACTGGGGCTAAGGGTGGTAGGGGAAGGAAGAGGGAAAGAAGGTAATTAAGGAGTTGAGCATAATGTTTTTCCATTCTTGGACAACAAACATACTTTTCAGGCTCTGAGTTTAGACTGAGGCGGATGAAGCAAGATGGAAAAAAAGCGAATTACTTGGGAACGGGCACAATATTGCCTCTGACAGCCCGAGCTCTGAGAATCAAAAGGTTGGTGAGCTGCATGGGCATAAATCCTTTAGAAACTTGAAGAGGTGCGACAAACAAGTGGCAAGAGGTACTCAGAGCTAACTCAAAACGTGAAAATGCAAGAAAATAGTGGCTTGGGTTGTGCCTCATGGCCTTTCTTAAGTTATATGAAGAACAGACACAAACTGTGATGTCTGCTTGGATTGTTTACAAGCTTGTATAGACAGGTTATTCAATTAAAAGCAATTCCATGTCAGTGAGGTCATTTAAATATCACTCCAAAGTGATGGAGTTGCTTCTAATTTGCCTTTGCTTTTTGTTTATCTTGGTTAGTGAATATAAACCCAGTATGTTTGCTGTATGATAACTGGAAGATATTGTCCACATTTGCATTTGTACAAAGTATTTCTGTTCAGAGAAGCTTCATGGCTGCAATCCATCGTGTTGTGTCATGTCAAATTGCATCACTCCTATAATACACCCAATACTTAAAATACTTGTTTTCTCAGATTGAATAATGAGCCTTACTTTCCAGATACCTTCCTACCTGTGACATCCCAGCTTAGGCAATAGCAGGTCTCAGGTTAGTGGCTGTCTTTCCTTGTTTAAATTGCTAGTTTTGGTTCATTGGTGCTGAATTCCTTCTCTTTACACTTTTACAGCTGAGATTAATTTTGCCAGGAACATGGGAATTTCATCTTTTGCAATTGTTACCATTGCTGAAATTTGACTGGAGCTTAAGGGCTTCACTCCATATGGGCAGAAAACTTCCAGTGGAAACTAAACGTATGCAAGTGCAAAGAAAGGACTTACTCCTATAACCACTGAGTTATCTGGTTGACACATCAGAAGGATGGGATGTCATCCAGAGAGACCTGGACAGGCTGGAGAGGTGGGCCTGTGTGAACCTCATGAGGTTCAACAAGGCCAAGTGCAAGGTCCTGCACCTGGGTCGGGGTAACCCCCAGTATCAGTACAGGCTGGGGGAAGAAAGGATCGAGAGCAGCCCTGCCGAGAGGGACTTGGGGGTGCTGGTGGATGAAAAGCTGGACATGAGCCGGCAATGTGCGCTGGCAGCCCAGAAGGCCAACCGTACTCTGGGCTGCATCAGGAGAAGCGTG